TTGTGTCAGGATGAATCTTGTGGTGTGAAAGGGCAAATCTGTTATGTCAGGTGGAATTGTTTTGTGATTGGGCGAAGTTGTTGTGCTCTGACAGCGCAAATATGTGGTGTCAGGGCGATTTTGCTGTGATTGGGCAAAATTTGTGCTGTAAGGCGCGGACTTGCTGTGTTAAGGGGATTTTGCATTGAAAATGTGAATCTTCGGTGACTCGTGAAGTCTGAATTACTAGTCAAGATCGAGTTTGTACTCTGAATGATTAGAATACACTACCGGAAAACTCTGAAATTTCAGAGTTACCCTTAAAAAAAATCTGATTCTTACAGATTACACTGAAAAAAAAATCTGAAATATCAGGGTTTTTTTGCCAAATCAGAGAAAAAAATATGACTTCTGAGATACTGTCCCCTGTACCCTTATTTATACGAATGTATTTGCACCAGGCCCTCAGATATCAGCTAAAATACGCTGATTACGCTGATTTTGTAGCTGTGATTTTCGTTTTCCCTTAAATTTCTGTATATTCTGTGAAAATAGTAGACAGAAGTAGGAGCCATAGCTAGGAAAGCCCTAGCTAGGCAAGAAACAGTTTAGGCAAAAAGGAGTTCACTAGTAGGAATGAGGATACAAATAGCAAACCCTAGAAAGGTTGTACTCGCTACAGAGCACCCCACTACAGGCTAGAGCATAACATTCTGACACACCCCCATAGCCAAAGTGGGGTGTAATCAGCAGAGCAAGCAAAGCAGGAGAAGCTCAGGGTGGATCACAATGTCACCACACATTCTAAGCACAAGTTCAAGAAGCAACAGTTTAAAGTTCACAAGTGTAAGCAAAGCTAGAGGCTATCGCAGAGGGCAAGTGAGGAGGAGGAGGCTAGACTGTAAGAGGAGAGGAGATAGGAGGCGACGGCTGAAGCTGCAGACACACGGGCAACAGGAGGCACACTGGCACAGCGGCTACCGGAACAACGCTCCGGACTATCGGAGTAACTGGCCCCGCGGCTAAAAGTAGCGGCAGACGAGCAACGGACCCACGGGCGACTGGCACAGGTGGCTGCGACTGGGCTACCGGAGCAACTCCCCGGACTACAGGTGCTACTGGTGACACGACGGCAACCTCCGTTCAACTTCCCCAAACAGTCCCACCCCCCCTGACACACACCCCTTGCTTCACCCCTAGCTCCACTCCCACGTCACCCCCCTAGCACCACTCCTTCGGCTCCCACACACCCACCCCCCTGGGCGGCAGCTGCAGTAGCGGGAGACGGAGGAGGAGGAGGAGCAGAGGACGCCGCTGAGAAACTTGTGAAGCAAGGAAAACAGGAATGAATGACTAAGTCAGAGTTGGGTACAAATACAACCCTAGAAAGCTGTACCCCATATGTGCTACCCCACTATAGCCTACAAACATGCATCAGTTATAATAATCCGACACACCCCCATAGGCAAAGTGGGGGAGAACAAGGGGTCACAAGACCAGTCAAGCAAAGCAAAGCAAAGCAAGCTCAGGGTGGATCACAACGTCACCACACAGTCCGAGCACAAGAGCAGGGCCAGAGGCCAGTTCACATGCAGGAGTACAGACATATATATAAAACTAGACAAGCAAGAGCAGGTATATATATATATGTCACAGTACAAGTGAAGTCAAGAGGAGAGCAAGTGAGGCAAGACAGGCACAAGACCCAGCTGGGTGCAAAAGCGCTGATGGTCACAAGGCGCGAGTGCCTTGGTGAACACATCAGCAGTGTTGGCCTCAGAGGCCACGTACGCAAGTCGCAACTGACCACGCTGCTGCAGCTCACGAGCAAGGAAGTAGCGGAGAGCAATGTGCTTCGTTCTGTGCTCCAAGCGCTGCTCTCGACACAAGGCCAGCATGGCCTTGTTGTCTACGTACAGCACTGGAGGAGAACGAGGCGGCTCTCCAAGGTCAGTCAGCAGGTAGGTGAGCCAGCGAAGCTCCTGTGCAGCCATGGCCCCGGCGTAGATCTCAGCCTCACAACTGGAGCCGAGAACCGAAGACGAGCGAGTAGACCGCCACGAGACAGAGCCGGAACCAAGGCTGAAGGTGTAACCCTGTGACGACCGCTGCGTAGCCTGGTCGTCAGCCCAAGAAGCGTCCGCGTGGCCGGTAAGGACCACTGGACTCCGCCCTCCAAGCACTAGCCCCATGCCCGACGTACTGCACAGGTAGCGCAATACCCTCTTCGCTGCAGCCATGTGCTCCGGTCTGTGTCTCCCAGGAGCAACATAGCGTGCAAGAATGCTCAGAGGGTATGCAAGGTCAGGTCGTGTGCAGGTCATCAGGTACATGAGGCAGCCAACAAGCTCTGCATACGGACCACTCGACTCTACGGACTCATCCGAAGGCAGAGCTGAGAGTGAGTGGCGAGTAGGCAGAGGAGTGGCCTGAGGCGAGGAGTACGTGAAGCCGAAGCGCTGAAGGACCTGCTGCACCATGTGTGACTGAGTCAAGGTAATGGTGCGGCGTGCTCTATCCCGAGTGATCTGCAAGCCAAGGTAGCTGCGCAGTTCACCCAGGTCTGTGCACGTGTGTCTCTTCAGCAGCTCGGACTTCACGTAGGCGAGTCCAGCAGTGTCTGCTGTGGCAAAGACCAAGTCGTCGACGTACACGAGGATGTAGAACGGCGGCAGGGAAGTGTCGGTGCGAAGAAACAGCGACGGGTCAGCAGTAGAAGGAGCAAACCCAAGAGCCGCAAGCGTAGTCCTCAGTGTGTCGTGCCACTCACGCGGTGCCTGGCGGAGACCGTAGACTGGCCGTCGGAGGCTCCACTGGGTGCCAGGAGGGAAAGTCCCAGTGAAGCCAGGTGGACGGCAAAGCCAGATCTCCTCGTGCAGGCTACCCTGCAAGAACGCAGTGCTGAAGTCGAGAGAGTGAAGCTCGTAGTCGCGCTGAGCGGCTATGTGCAGCAGCACCCGAAGAGTAGTCATCTTCGGGGTGGGAGAGAAGGTCTGAAAGTAGTCAACTCCCTGCCGCTGACTGAAGCCACGAGCAACGTACCGTGCCTTGAAGACAGGTGGAGAGCCCAGCGGCCGCTTCACCCTGAAGATCCACATGCCACTGACGATGTTCGCCCCAGGAGGGGGAACCGCGTCAACGTAGGTGCCTGTGGACTTCCAGGAAGCCATCTCTGCATCCATAGCTGCCTGCCACTGAGAGGAGTAGGGACCCTCTACGGCCTCCGCGTAAGAACGCGGAGTCGGGATGTCTAGTGCATCCGGGTCTCCCTCAGGGGCAAGCAGTACAGACGCGAGATGAGGTGAAGCAGCCACTAGACACTGTAACTCCTCCTGCCTGTCCTCTAGGACGTCCGTGCCAAGAGCACACTCACCCCCGACGGACGGAGGACAGACAGACGCAGACTCAGCAACAAGACTAGCAGCGTAGTCGAGACGACAGCGAGCAGCAAAGTCGACGAGCTCAGCGACAAGAGCAGACGCAGCAGTGGACTCAAAAGAGGGGTCAGTGACGACAGTAGCAAGCAGACGCGTCACAGTAGGACTGGCAGCACGAAGAGAGTCCGACTCAGGGTCGGCAAGCGCAGGAAGAGAGGACTCAGGAGGAGAAGGCAAAGGGGCACGCAGAGGAGCAGTGGACGGACGCAAAGACATCCGGTGCGTGCCAGGGACAGGAGGAGGACGCTGACGCGAACTGCAACCACTAGCGCGAGCAGCACGAACAGGCGACGCGGGACGAGACGCAGGCTCACGACGCTCAGCAAGACCTCCAGTAGGACCAGTGTAAGGAGACGGAGTAGGCAGTGGAGAGGAAGGCTCCAGCAGGGACTGCGACTGGACAGGCGGTGGACCCTCTACTGGAGGAGAAAGACCAAGAACCTGCTGTAGGAGCGGAACAAAGTACGGTCGAGGCCGCGCGGCAGCTCCAGACTCAGCAGGGACAGCACCACCACCCTCAGCGACAGCACCAGCGCCACCCACACCTCCAGCGGCAGGACCAACAGCAGTAGGCTCAGCACCAACGCCCTCAGCAGCTCCAGCTCCAGGAGGACCAGTAGGTCCAGCAACTCCGGGACCGGCAGCACCCGCACCCTCGACGGTCGAAGAAGCTCCAGCTCCAGCTCCAGCAGCACCTCCAGACTCAGCAGCACGCCTCCAGCGGCGAGCGAACCACTCGCGCAGCTCCTGTGGAGAGAGGGGCTCCCGGCGAGACGCAGCAGCAGGAGAAACCCCAGGCTCAGCAGCTCCAGACGCAGCACCCCCAGGCTCAGCAGCTCCCAGCTCAGCACCCCCAGGCTCAGCAGCTCCCGACCCAGCACCCCCAGACCCAGCACCTCCAGGCACAGCACCCCCCGGCTCAGCACCCCCAGGCTCCGCACCCTCCGCAGTAGCACCCTCAGGCCCAGCACCCCCAGCAGTAGCACCCCCAGGCTTAGCACCCCCGCGCACAGCACCCCCAGAGTCAGCACCTCCAGGCTCAGCACCCGCAGCAGCACTAGAGTCACCAGTAACCTCGACCGGGTCAACGGCGTCTACCTGGGACACACCTGAGGGGGCAGGAACCTGAGGGGGGAGGGGGTCTACCGGGGGGGGAACCGGCACAAGGAAGTCCGGGGGAGGGGGGAGGGAAGGAGTGCGGTATGGGAAGAGACGGTAGAAGGGGACTGACTCGTCGAACGTGACGTCCTGGGAGGACAGAACACGACGAGAGGAGGGGTGGTAAAACTGCCACCCTGGGGCGTCAGTGGGGAAGCCAAGGAAGACACAGGGAGCAGCACGAGGGGACAGCTTGTCCGCAGACAAGTCGCGGACAAACGCCCGAGATCCCCAGACACGGAACACAGACGCATCGCCAACCTTCCCCGTCCACAGCAAGGCTGGGGACATCGCAGGCCGAGAGACCCGGGGGTGAAGGTTGAGCTGATGCGCCGCGTACCTCACCGCAAACGGCCACAGAAATGGGGGGCAGCCGCATGCATCATGGACGTACGAGCTACATCCATGACCATACCAATGCGGCGCTCAGCAATCCCATTTTGCTGTGGTGAGTCCGGAAGCGTGAAGGTCTGGCGGATCCCCCGTGCACGACGGTAGTCCCGCAGAAGGCGAGAAGAGAACTCTCCGCCTCTGTCAGAGTGCAGACGCAGAACAGGAAAGTCCGAGCTGAAGCTCTTCCTGAGCTGGAGACGATCCTCGCGGATCCAGTCGATCAGCACCTCAGTGACCGCACCCTTGCTGCGCAAGGGGAGGACTGTGGTGTAACGCGAGTAGTCGTCAACCACCAACAGGAAGTAGCGCTCGTAACCCTGCCCACGGACGGGGGCTGGGCCCCACACATCCATGTGAAGCGTCTGCAGGGGAGCCTCTGTCGGGGGGAAGTGGGAGGAGTGAGGAGTAGCCCGGAGGCGACCCTCGACACAGGGGACACAGGAAGGTCCTGGCCCGGAGGGGAGAGGAGGGAGAGACTGGGGAAGACCAGAGACAAGGACACGGGAAGCCATGCTCCGAAGACGGGGCAAGGAGGGGTGGCCAAGACGGTGGTGCCACAGGAGAGTCTCGTGAGACAGGAGGCGACAAGAACAGGGGGCAGACTCAGGACCTGACCGGGACGCAGCAGCAAGCACCTGACCCGACTCAGCCACCTGACCAGACGCAGGGACAGGAGGAGACTCAACGGTCAGGGTGTAGAGACTCGACCCCGGCCGACGCGAGAACGTGGCCAGGTGTCGGCCTGTGCGTGCCTCCGTGCAGTGGGTCACCCGCTGACTCGCAGGAGTGAACTGGTGAACCCCCACATCCTGCAGGTCCGCTCCACTCACCAAGTTCGTAGAGAACGAGGGAAGGTACAGACCCGACAGGGTGCCCGAAGGGGCAGCCGGACACGGGAGGACAGTGGAGAAGTGAGACAGGACAGGACCCCCAGAGGGGACAGCAAGGGAGACCGCAACCGGCCGGCCGAGCGGCGTAAGGGTAGTGCGGTCTCGAAAGAAGGAGCGAGAAGCTCCGGAGTCAAGTGTGAAAGTGAGGGAGGACGAGGACGACGCAGTACCTGAGAGCGCAGTCTCATCAGTACCTGAGAGCACAGACGCACTGGCACCTAGAGCAGCAGCCTCACAAGCACCTAGCGCAGCAGTACCAATGCCCGGGTCGGGCTGGAAACAACGGTAACCCTCATTCTCCTCACTATAATCCACAACATACATAGCAGCAAGGATAGCATCAAAATCAAGATCAAAGATCGCTACACCAGCCCTGAGAAGCTCATCCCAGCGAGGGATCTCACTAGCCCCAGGGAACTGCTGACGCCAAGCGTCCGTCAGGCGGCCAAAGCAGCGCTAGGTGGCGTGGGCACCCCCACACTGCTCACCCGCGCGGACGCCGGAACGAAGAACGTAGGTGCAGGGACCAGTACCCCCACCCCTCTGACGCCCAGCGTACCACTCACGAAGCTGCTGAGGCGGAGGGATGTCCCGCGAGCGCTGCTGCTGCTGCCGCTGCGAGCGCTGGCCACCACCACCGCCGCTACGCTGCTGGGTACCACCTCGACCAGCTCCACCTCCTCCACCACCACCGCCTCCTCCGCTGCCGCCTCCACCGCCTCCACCTCCGCCGCCTCCACCACCGCCGCTGCCTCCACCACCACCGCTGGCACCACCACCACCGTCTCCGCCACTGCTGCCACCACCACCTCCACCACTAGTCCCGCCGCCACCCCCACTCCCTCCGCCGCCACCGCCGCCACCGCCACCGCCCCCTCCAGCTCCACCCGCGCCCTTGCCCCCCTTGCCCTTGCTGGAGCAACGTCTCCCACTAGGGGCAGACGCCGCGCCGACCGACTCAAGACCAAGCAGGTCGGCAGCAGCAGCAGAGGCAACAGAGGGCAGCAAGGGGGAAGGAGAGCACCCCTCAAAGATGGGGGTGCGAGGGTCACCACGAGAAGCACCTACAGCGACTATGCTCTTCTCCGCTGCGAGGAGGGCCTTCTCGAGGAGGTCGACGGTGAGGGTGGTGGGACAGACTGCGAGAAAGTGGTCCCTGACGACGCGAAGGGAGTCAGGGAGGCGCGCGACTACGTAGTAGAGAGCGATGTACATGGGGGGGGGGTTCTTAGCGCAGAACTCAGCAGGAAGGGCGGCGCGGTAGCGAGTGTCACTAGTGCGGAGGTGCGTAATGAGGTCAGCGACAGTGGGAAAGGCAGAGAGGTCAGGAAAGAGGTAGGGAAGCATGAGACGGCTCAGTGCAGCAGTGGCAGGGGAGGAGTAGCGCGCAACTACAGCGTCGTACAAGGTCTGAGCACTCTTGTACTGACTAAAGTGCGCACGCTCAGAGGTAGGGAGGTGGCGACGCACAGCAAGACGTGCAGCAGCATCGCGGGTGGCCCACTTAGAGCGGACAGTGGGATCAGCATCAGCAGCAGGAGCAGGAGAGGCGCCAGAGGTGAGGTCAAAGAGAGAAAGGTCGTCAGCCCTGTCGCACTGTAAGAACAGCTGCAGGTCGTCTAACCAGACCTCAAAATCAATGGCGCGACCCTCAGCGTCAAAAGCTAGGACACTAGGGGTAGCCATGGCGACGACAGCGACGCAGTGCAAGCAGTAGGGAAAGAGCTCGCAGTGTCAGTGGGACAGTGCTCACCAGGCAGGGCAGGTCGTGCAGCTATGCAGAAAGGCGGCTCAGCGACCGGGCGGCTCGGGTGCACAGCGGCTCGGCTCTTGGGCGGCTCGGCGGCTTGGTGGCTCGGGTGCAGGGCGGCCCGGCTCCCGGGCGGCTCGGCGGCAGGGCGGCTCGGGTCCCGGGCGGCTCGGCGTTGGGCGGCTCGGCTCCTGGGCGGTTCGGCTGCTGGGGCGGCTCGGCCGGGAGATGCAGGGGCGGGGCCGTCAGGTGCAGCGGCGGGTCGACCGGTGCAGTGGCGGGCCGGCAGGTGCAGCGGCGGGCCGGCAGGTGCAGCGGCGGGCCGGCAGGTGCAGCGGCGGGCCGGCAGGTGCAGGCGGCGGGCCGGAGGGTGCAAGGGCGGGCCGTAGGGTGCAGCGGCGGGCCGGCAAGAGCAGCGGCGGGCCGAAGGGTGCAGCGGCGGGGCCGTCAGAGGCGGCGGGCCGCTGGGTGCAGCGGCGGGCCGGCAGGTGCACCGGCGGGCCGGCAGGAGCAGCGGCGGGCCGGCAGGAGCAGCGGCGGGGCCGTCAGGTGAGGCGGCGGGCCGGCAGGAGCAGCGGCGGGTCGTAGGATGCAGCGGCGGGCCGTAGGGTGCAGCGGCGGGGCCGTCAGAGGCGGCGGCGGGGCCGCGGCAGTAGAGGCGGGGCCGCGTCAGGGGAGGCGGCGGGGCCGCGTCAAAGGAGGCGGCGGGGCCGTGTCTAGCAGGCGGCGGGGCCGCGATCAGGAGAGGTGGCGGGGCCGCGTCTGAGGGACAGCGGGGCCGCGAGGGAAAAGGCGACCCGAGGGGTCGCTAAAAAAAAAAGGGCGCGCCTCGGGGCGCGCTTCGGTGGGCCCTAAAAAAAAACGGTCCTAAGGCAGGACCCGCTCTATACCATGTGAAGCAAGGAAAACAGGAATGAATGACTAAGTCAGAGTTGGGTACAAATACAACCCTAGAAAGCTGTAACCCATATGTGCTACCTCACTATAGCCTACAAACATGCATCAGTTATAATAATCCGACAAAACTGCACCCCCATACCCCCACACGCTCCACCCCCAAACCCTAATGCAGAAGCACAAGCAGTAGCAGGGGTGGGGCGCCATCAGAGGCACGGGGGACAGCGGGCAGTGCAGGGGCAGCGAAGAACGGGCCGCCCACAGGCCTGGCACAGCCGCCCGAACCGCGCGCAGGCGGCCCGAGCCGCGCGCGGGCCTGGCGCAACACTTACGGGCCGCGCGCGGGCCTGGCGCAGCCCGTACGGGCCGCGTTCGGGCCTGGCGCAGCCCGTACGGGCCCCGCGCAGCCTCTACGGGCCGCGCGCAGGCCACGACGGGCGACAGGGGGCGACGCGCGGGTCCTCGTCGCCCGTCGCAGCGCCTCCTGGGGGCGACACGCCGAGTGACGGGGCAGAAACCCATCGCGCGCCCCGGGGCGCATGGCGGGCAGAAAACCGCGGCGCGCCTCGGGGCGCACGGCGGGCAGAAAATCGCCGTGCGCCTCGGGGCGCACGGCGGGCTGAAAACCCTAATTTCGACGCCGCGCACCACGGGGCGCGCGGCGGACAGGGAGTAGCAGTAGCAGCGGAAGCAGTGAGTTGGGGCCCACAGGCCAGGAGCATATCACTCTAATACTATGTGAAAATAGTAGACAGAAGTAGGAGCCATAGCTAGGAAAGCCCTAGCTAGGCAAGAAACTGTTTAGGCAAAAAGGAGTTCACTAGCAGGAATGAGGATACAAATAGCAAACCCTAGAACGGTTGTACTCGCTATAGAGCACCCCACTACAGGCTAGAGCATAACATTCTGACATATTCTTCATGTTTGCATTGATTTTTCAGTTTAGAGTATAGGACTAACCTGACGAATTAGTGTTTAGGTGTACCAGTAACACCGAAGCATCAGTATAGTGTACCGAGTAACACTGATTCAGACTACCAAAATATATAGGTTACAGAATTTGGGGGTGCGCATACATTGAGATTCGGGGAGGAAATTCCCTCCACACTCTTGTAAACCTCACACACATGAGACTCGAACAACAGACTTTTCAGGTAACAGGGAAAACCTCAGAGAGCTACACTTGTAGTACTGGTCGTGAAGTTCAAATTGACACTTCACACTTATTTTTCAGTTAGCCATAAATTTTACCCTCACAGAATCAGCATAAACTTAACCCCCAATGCTGATTTGATCACGACTCTGGGCAGGGCATGCTAATCCATCAGCCTGCCCTGAAACCAATCTGAGGGCCTGATTTGCATGCTTTTACTATTACAGCCATTTAAAGTTGAGTCTGACCTGAGATCAATTTTTTCTACTCCAACGCACTCTCCGCGAATTATCATGAGGTGATCTTACGCATGATCGAACCTTTGATCGCAACATGCTATTGTCGAGAAGAATAGGTCAAGGGGAGGGGTACAAGAACAACATCGAGTGAAATTCAGTACCCCCTAGTGCTAACACTCATATAGCCTAAACAACATAAGCATACATGTTTTGACACACCCCTATAGGCGAAATGGGGGATAGCTAGAGAAAGCAATGGTCACCAGACCAGTCAAGAGAAACGACAAAACAAAGCAAGCTCAGGGTGGATCACGAAGTCACCACACATTCTGAGCACAAGCAAAAGGCCACAAGGCCAGTTCAAATGCGGAGTTATATAATGTAGAACAAGTAGTACAGTGATCAAAACCTAGCAAGTGTAAACATGCAAGTACAAGTATTTAGAACAAACAAGGCCAAGAAGTGAGCAAACAAACAAGAAGTGAGCAAGTGAGGCCAAGTGGGCACAACGCCTAGAACAGTTAAGAAACGCTGATGATTACAAGGTGCAAGTGCCTTGGTGAAGATATCAACAGTGTTGGCCCGTGAGGCCACGTAAGCAAGACGAAGCTGACCACGCTTCTGCAGCTCTCGAGCAAGGAAGTAGCGCAAAGCGATGTGCTTCGTTCAGTGCTCCAGTCTGTGCTTCTAACACAAGGCAAGCATGGCCTTGTTGTCGACGTACAGAACTGGGGGGGAACGAGGTTGCTCTCCCAAGTCAGTCAGCAGGTAGGTGAGCCAGCGTAACTCCTGTGCAGCCATGGTCCCTGCGTAGACCTCAGCCTCACAACTGAAACTAAGAACAGAAGACGAGCAAGTAGACTGCCACAAAACAGAGCCGGCGCCATGGCTGAAAGTGTAACCATGTGACGACCGCTGAGTAGCCAAGTCATCAACCCAAGAAGTGTCTGCGTGACCAGTGAGAACAACTCGAGCCCATCCTCCAAGCACAAGCCCCATGCCCGACGTACTGCACAAGTAGCGCATCACCCTCTTAGCGGCCTTCTTGTGCTCTGGTCGGTATCTCCCGGGCGCAACGTAGCGTGCCAGGATGCAAAGACGGTAAGCAAGGTCAGGTCGAGTGCAAGTCATTAGGTACGTGAGGCAGCCCACAAGCTCTGGATACGGGCCACTCGGCTCTACGGACTCATCCAAAGACAGAGCTGAGAGCGAGTGACCGGTAGGCAGAGGAGTGGACTGTGGCGAGGAGTACTGGAAGTCGAAGCGCTGAAGGACCTATTGCACCATGTGTGACTGAGTCAAGGAAATGGTGCGCTGTGCTCTGTCCCGGGTGATCTGCAAGCCAAGATAGCTACACAGCTCACCTAGGTCAGTGCACGTGTGTCTCTTCTGCAGCTCTGAATTCACAAAGGTCAGTCCAGCAGTATCAGTAGTGGTAAAGACCAAGTCGTCAACATACACGAGGATGTAGAACGGCGACAGAGAAGTGTTGGTGCGTAGAAACAACAACGGGTCAGCAGTCGAAGGAGCAAACCCAAGAGCCGAAAGCGACCTCCTCAGTGTGTCGTGCCACTCGCGAGGCGCCTGGCGGAGACTGTAGACTGGCCGCCGGAGGCTCTACAGGGTTCCAGGAGGAAACGACCCAGTGAAGCCAGGTGGGCGGCGCAGCCAGATCTCCTCGTACAGGCTGCCCTATAGGAAGGCTGTGCTGAAGTCAAGAGAGTGAAGCTCGTAGTTACGTTGAGCGGCGACATGCAGTAGCACCTGAAGAGTGGTCATCTTTGGGGTAGGGGAGAAGGTCTGGAAGAAGTCAAATCCCTGTTGTTGACTGAAGCCTCGAGCAACGTAAGGGCGCGTAACCATTTTGCACCCGACGGTTCGAACTGCGGACGGTCCGTCGTGACGAAATGTAACTGGATTCGCTGATTATTGTTTAGGTCTTCGCGGAGGTGTTGGCGACGTCGCCAACCTAACGGACTGTCGTGACACTTTTTCACATTTCCAACACTCCGCTTTGTGAACCGTGGACTGTCCGAAACCCAAACAAACGGTCCACCATTTCTGGCTAGGTATTGGTGGGCGAATTTTAATGTACAATATATCATACCGATTCGCCAAAGAAGCTAATACCAAAAATGTCGCGAGGTAAGTTACAAAGATACAAGGCCTCTAATGAGGCTACAGTAGTCGCAAAAATCAACAACCCCAAAAAAGTGTCACATTAGCCTTTGGACAGTCCGAAGTTGAAATTTTTTGATTCGAACGGTCCCGTTCTCGAGAATAGAACCGTGCGCTTTGTTCTAAGCGGACTATCCGTAAAAAACGTAAAATGCAAAATGGTTACGCGCCCTAATACGCTATGAAGACAGGTGGAGAATCCGGCAGCCGCTTCACTATGAAAATCCACATGCCACTAACGATGTTCGCCCAAGGTGGGGGAACCTCGTCAACGTAGGTGTATGTGGACTTCCAAGAAGCCATCTCTGCGTCCTTGGCTGTCTGCCACAGAGAAGAGTAGGGTCCCTCAATTGCCTCTGCGTAATTGCGTGGGGTCGGGATGTCTGCTGTATCCGGGTCTCCCTTTGGTGCAATCAACATGGACAAGAGATGAGGTTAAGCAGCTGCAAAATACTCAAAGTTCTCCTGCCTGTCCTCAAAGACGTCCGTGCCAAGAGCACACTCACCCTCGACGGACGGAGGACAGACAGACTCAGACTCAGCAACAAGACTAGCGGTGTAGTCTAGGCGACAGGCGGCAGCAAAGTCAACAAGTTCTGCAGCGGACTCAAACGAAGGGTCAGTGACAACAGTGGCAGAAGACGTGTGACAGTAGGACTAGCAGCACGAATAAAGTCAGACTCAGGGTCCGGTTCGTCAGCAAGACAGGACGTAGGAGGAGACGGTAGAGGGAAACGCAGTGGAACAGAGGAAGGATGAAGTGCTATCTGGTGCGTGCCGGGGACAGGAGAAGAACGCTGACGCGGAACAGTAAGGGACGGGTAAAGCCAGTAGAAGGCGGTGGACCAAGAACCTGCTGAAGGAGTGGAACGAAGTACAGTCGTGGCCGCACAGCGCCTCCAAAACCAGCTTTGACAGCACCAGCACCCCAAGGACCAGCACCTCCAGCTCCATGGCCTCCACCACCTCCAACGCCTGCAGGACCACCAGCTCCAGTAGCTCCAGTACCTCCAGCAGCTCCAGCTCCAGCAGCACCCCAAGCTCGAACAGCTCCAATACCTCCAGTACGAGCCCCTCCGGGACCAGCGGCTCCAGCACCTCCGGCAACTCCAGCTCCAGCAGCACCTCCAACTCCAGCAGCACCTCCAGCTCCAGCAGCTCCAGTACCTCCAGTTCGAGCACCTCCGGAACCAGCAGCTCCAGCACCTCCAGGAGCTCCAGCTCCAGCAGTACCTCCAGCTCCAGCAGCTCCAGTACCTCCAGTACGAGCACCTTCACGACTAGCGGCTCCAGTACCTCCAGTAGCTCGAGCTCTAGTAGCACCTCCATCTCCAGGGCCTCCAGGGGTAGGCCCCTCAGCTCCAGCAGCACCACTCCGGAGGCTCTAGCGCCGAGAAAACCACTCGCGCAGCTGCAGTGGAGAGAGAGACTCCCGCCGTGACACGATACCCAACGGACCTCCAGGCTCAGCACACTCGGGCTCAGCACCCCCGAGCTCAACA